CCCCCGTACCTCACGTCGACTCAGCAAGTTTCACAGTTGTTCCAAGTTGTGTCGATAGAAACGTTAAGATTAAGCTAAATTACCGTATTATTTGTAGTCTTTTTCATGTTTGTGGTTTCCATATCTTTCTTTTTTTTTCTTTCTTTCTTTCTTTCTGTCCTTCATTCTTTCTTACTTTCTTTCTTTGTTTCTTTGTTTCTTTCTTTGTTTCTTTCTTTGTTTCTTTGTTTCTTCTCTCTCTCTATTCCTTCTCTTTCTCTCTCTGTCTCTCTCTCTCTCTCTCTGTCTCTCTCTCTCTCTCTGTCTCTCTCTCTCTGTCCCCCCCTTTTCTCTCAACTTTCACGGGCGCTTTGTTGGCTCAGTTGGTATCATGCCGGACTACGGAGCGGATGGCCTTGGTTCGAATCCTACAATGGATATTCTTAAACTTGGTCGTTTTGTGGAGCTTTCAAGGCTCTCAACTTTCAACCCATTTGGCTCTGCCCAATCAGAGACAAAAGTAGAATTCGAAGAATCCTCCCTTTAAATAACTAAAACCGTTAATAGGCTCGTTAAACCCACACACTTACTTATTTGTTTAAACTACCTCCTTCTTTCAGTTTCTCCCTTGTTCTTTAAAATAGATAATAATATACTGACACAAACCTAAAATTGTACAACATGGTGACAAACCAAGCATATACAATATAATAAAGGCACTCAAGCATTTGCAAATATTATATTTGCATACATTTATTACAATGTTTCATAATTTGTTTGTTTTCCCGAGCTTGTTACGGCACTCAATTAGGTCATAGAAGAGTCGAAGACTAGAAGTGTTACAAGAGAGTAACAAACAAACACAAAACAGGAAGAGGAGAGATAAGGACGATAGATGTTTGATAGGAAAGAAGGAGCAAACCTCACGAGAACACCTGTCAAATCATCTACATCATGTATTATACATTATGTACATACGTGCACTCGTATACACATACACTTGCAGATGCTTGATTTCCTATTCAGACACCAATGAAGATTTATTGTGACGCGAAGATATTTTATGACGCCATCGACACATCTTAAATCATTTAGGAGGATGACTGTTTCGACTGCTTCTGTCAGAGCAAACCCAGACAGATAGGGTTATATAGGGACGAAAAAACACGCGGGGGAAAGCACAACACGACGCTAGAGCTAATCGCATTCCGAAACCTTGGGCTGATAGGCGAACATCATGACTATTGAGCCATTGAGACCCCCTATAATTAACTCGGATAAAAGAAAAAGAAAAATAGTCGAGGGTTGGCCGGTGTTCTGGTGTGGTTTGTGCATTTTTTCTGTGTAATAGTATGTTACTCTCCACCAACAGCTCTAACCTTCGGCACATATAATAATATGGCCTATTTGTGTTGAAAAATACATTTCACTTCCCCACATACCTCTTTTAAACCGCATTCCAATGTCCTTAAGAATGTTTTAAAAGCCACCTCGAACACTCGACTCATCAATATACATACAGAGTAACATGAATAAAATATTACCATCTGTCCCCGATCTCGGACCGCCCTCCCCCAAACTCTGTCCATTCCCTACCCTCCCTCACCCCCACTCACAGCTTGCCGTCTCATTCTTCCAC